GAAGTCAACATGATGAATGGTCTAGCTCCGGAGCTGTGCGGAAGGAAACGCGCTGCGTGGAGAGCATTCAAGAATATCGAGGGAGAAGTGAAGAAGACAAAGAACACCCGGCTCTGCGCTCACCTTTTCGTCACCACTGTCCTGCTTTGACGTACGCCTCGGAGACCTGGACTCTACGAAAGCGGGATGAGCATGCTGTCAGCGTCACTCAACGCGCTCTACAAAGGACGATGCTCGGAATTTCCCTATGCCGGAAGTGCTGATAGGAATCCGGAGTTCCGAGCTCTCCAATCGAACGATGTTTAGGGATGCCGTTGACCACGCCAAGAAATCGAAGATCTCGGTACATCAAACGTATTCCAGGACGGCTGCCAACGAGATGCTAAGACTTCTTCACGAAAGCTGTGAACGAAAAGAACGTTGGACTCTGCGTCCCCGAAGCGAGAACGATTCACTGCTGGACCCCCATGCCTCGTGACAGGGACGAATGAAGACGTTACTGGCGCCCGCTCGAGGAAGTCAATGATCTACGGGACGACAGGTGATACAGGTGCGACAAAGTTATGTATCGTTCACCTGGTCGACTTACTACTTTTCTGAATTGGCCTTATCCATACCAATTTCGGTATTTTGGCATCATTTCTATGTCAGTCGAGAACTTATCTCGGCCATTGTCACAACTTACATTTCGATTAGCTTTGACTTGACTTTTGGGAGAAAACCCGGCTTGTGCAATGTTAGTGTGCTGAGCCATCATAAAGAAGAACTCCCGGCATCTTCTACTCTTCACCTTCAACCAACTTCCCGATGCCGTAAAATTGGCTCTCAATTTGTTAAATGCAGGAAAGGATATCATTGCAAAGAGAACGACTCAGTGATGAGCTGAGAAGGAGAGTGAAACTTGGAGAAGTCCAACAGCTCAGCAAACTGTCTTCATATTACAATGGAAAAGTCAGTTCCTTAAAAAGGTGTGGTTGGGCTTACTTTAGTCCTATAGTGAAATAGTAAAAAGAAAAGGTGACTAAGTGAACGTGAACATTATTGGTTGAATACTTGCAATGAAAAATAGAGACTTAGCTGCCGGTTTTCCTCGACTCAATCTTCCATGTCATAAGCATTAAGTCTAGCCTAAATCAAAGTTTTTTCTTAGAGAAAAGAGGCAATAACAACTCAATATCTGTCAGTGTTCAATTACCCAAGTCTGGGGGATAGCCTAATGGATAAGAGTGTGGGCTCACGTCTGCACTTAGGGGGAGTGCGAGTTCGATCCGTGCTGAGGCAGCTCCATGACTTGCAAAAATGGCAATCGGTGCACCAGGCCCGGGTTGATAGGCCGGCTTATGGAGAAAGCTAGTCACAACGAACATGTCTGAAGTCTCAAAAAGTATCAGTGTTAAAGCTAGGGCGTCACCCGAAAGTGTCGCACAGGACTCCCGCACGAGTTCTGTGGACAGCGCGCGAGGGCTACCAAGGAGTGAACAACCTTGGCCAAAAAAGTTAGTTTGAATTGTGACCCTAGATGTGGGATCGCTCACTGGGAGGTCCCGAGATCTTATGGAGCGCAGGAACATTTAAGTCCTATGCTTTCAGGAGATTCGCTGGAAGGGAGCAAAGCCAGAGAAATCGGAGAGGAATCAAACCCTTCTACAACGGAGGAGATATTAAACGAAATGGTGTGGCCATAGCAGTGGCAAAATCTCTAGAGACTCTGTCTTCGCCATTAACAGGACCAGCAGTCGAATCATGGTTGTGAGGATGGACACGAAGAAGGGGTACTGGACATTAATATCAGTGTACGCAACACATGCCGGCTGCCCCGTCTACGGGGAGGATGAATTCTAACTGAGCCTTGACGAAGCCATCCAATCATTTCCAGAAGGGACAACTCACCACAGGAGGTGATCTGAATGGGCACGTCGGCTGTGAAAGGGGAGGGGGGGGGGGGGGGGATCGGAAAGGGTACATGGAGGTAGAGGAGTAGGAGTCAGAAACGGAGAGTCTTTGCCCTGGCCGTAGTCCACGACTTGGCAGTCTGCAGCACTCTCTTCGCAAAAAGGGAACCCCAAAGGTTACCTGCAGCAATGGAGGGAAAGAAACGGAAATAGATAATAAGCTAGCAAGGAGATCATCCCTCAAAGCTGTAAAGGACATCAATGTAATGGCTGAGAAGATCCGGCTCCACAGCTCAGGCCTCTCTTAGCAGACATAGCCATCGATTTTCCCAAGAAATCATGGGCGACGGAACGGAGGATCCGGTGGTGGGAGCTGTACCATTCGAAAAAGAACACCTCAAAAAGAAGATGCTGGAAGCTGGACTTTCAGATCCCGAAGGGCCGGTCCAGCAGACCTGGAGCAACGATGTGAAGATTATACTGCGATGTGCAAAGGAAACGCTGGGAGAAATTCGAGGAGGTTTCCAAGGGGACAAGGAAGCATGACTGTGGAACGACGAAGTCCAACGAGTTGTGAAGCAGAAGAAATTGGCCTACACACGCAACCAAAAAACACTAATCCCAGAGGACTTACCTTCCACCAAAGCTTCCAAAGACTCGCCAAGGCTGCTGTCGCGAAGGCGAAGAACACGAAAATGGACGCCTTGTATGAGAAACTCGACAGTCGAGAAGGGGAGAAGTTTGTCTTCCGTCTGGCGAAAGCGCGTCACCGCGCCACTTAGGACATTGGGGTAGTGAAGTCCGTCAAGAACAGCGAGGACGCAGTCCTGATGAACCCTGGCGAGGCAGGCGTAGGTGGAAGGAATACTTCTACAGTCTTCTTAACAACGAATTCACCCGTAAGAACAGCTCGCAATTGGGGGCCAAGGCTGGCCCCATCGAACTCTGGACAAAGGATGAAGTGCGAGAGCAATAGGAAAGATGAAGCTTGGGTAGGCAACTCGTCCATATTGAGTATCGATCGAGGCATGGAAGGCGCACGGGATAAAGTGGCTTACCTGATTTCCGAACATTGTGACCGCTAAAGGAAGAATCCCAGATGCGTGGAGGAGGAGCACTATCGTTCCAAACTTCAAGCAGAAGGGAGACGCGATGGAGTGTTCCAACCAGCGGGGGATCAGGTTTATTGCTCACACGATGAAGCTGTACGAGCGGCTGGTCGACTCAAGATTGAGAGAATGACTCCCAACTCGTAGAAGAAGTTCGGTTTCAGGCCTGAGCGGTCTACAATGCCGTCTTCATAGCTAGGCAAGTGATAGAGAAAATCGAGAAAAGCGTAGACCCTGGTACCTAGCCTTCCTCGATTTGAAAAAAGCATTCGACCGTCTCCCGCTTCAAGTCCTCTAGAGAGCGCTCCGGAAACGAAACGTGCCAGAACACATCATTTCTCTGGTCAAAGACCTGTACAATAGTTCCACGACAACAATACGCACTCCACACGGCCAAACAAAAACAATAGATGTCACGGTTGCATACACCAGGAATCAGCAGCTCTGATCCCGTTTCTCTTCCTGTTCACGATAGACGTCATCACAGGAGAACTCATGTCTGAACCAGTGAACACCATTCTCTACGCTGATGACATCGCTCTGATAGCGGAGAGCAAGGAAGACAAGTTCCAGAAATGGCAGAAAGTGCTGGCGGAGAATAGACTCCGGCTGGACGTGGAAAAGACCAGGTTCCTCAGCTCCGAGGAGGCACGGAATCAACCTTCGACGGTCACGAGGTAGCCACCTAAAAGGCCCAGGACTTTTGATACCTGAGGAGTGATCTAACCTCTGATGGTTAACCAGGCCGTAAAATCTCGAGTAAACGCGGCGTGGATGAAGTGGTGGAGGGAGCTGGTATCCTCTGCAATCGTCGGTGCTGCAGAACTCTCAAAGCAAAGGTGTGTCGGTCAGTGGTAAGGCCCACGATGCTCAACGGCAGGGAGTGTTGGCCCGTGAGTAAATTCCATGAAGGACAGCTCCACTCCACTGAAATGGGAATGCTCAGATGGGCCTGCAGCGACGCGGCTGGATCGGATCAGAAATGAAGACGTCAGGACGGCTATGAAAGCAGCCCCAGTTCAACTGAAGATGAGAGAGCAGCGCCTACGATGGTTTGGGCATGTACTAAGACGGCCACAGAGCAATGCGATAAGGGAGGTAATGGAGTTCAAAGCCAAGGTAAACGATCACGAGGAGCTCCAAAGAAGAGCTGGTGGAATGTGATCAAGGAGGACCTCGCTGCCGAGGCTAAGGTGACGGCAGAAGATGCCGTAGATAGAATGAAATGGAGACGACTGACAAAAACAACGAACTCGGGAATAACGCTGGAGGAAAGAAGAAGAAGATCTATCAGTATATCTTTCAGAGGCTTGGGCAGCACTAATGAATGAGAGAGCTTATCACAGAAGAGATTCAGCAGAACTTGGTAAATGAGAAAAGAATCTGCAAGGTTTTCAAAAACGGAATTATTAAGTTGACAAAATAGGGACAATTACGCTTTCATAGTGGAACCCATTCGCCCTTTTCATCTCTCTCCCCACCCCCTCCTCATCCCTGCTCATTTCGTTACCTTGGTTTCTCGTTGGAAAGAGTGCCAAACAGGCTCTTAAAGCTGTATAGAAAGATTGGCCGTGTTAGCACGAGCAACGGTGTACAAAATGAGCTCTGTCTACTGGATTCCTTCACCCTAGTGAATCTTTGAAAACAAAAATGTGTTAGGAGTGCTCTCTTTCACATTTTTTGAATTTTTATATGTGCACTTCCCAATGCTATCACTGGATCCAGCGATCATACATCAGTTATCGAGAACTGACCTTTCGAAGGACTTCCGGTTGAACGACTTTGTGCCGTCGCACTGTCTGGAGATGACTCATTTCTTTATTTGAAACTTTTCTGAGCAATGTTCAATAAGAAGTAAGTCCAACGACGCACAAGAGTGGGAGTAACGAGTACTAAGAGCATGGCAGAGCAGATGCTTTCGAATGCGATGGAAGATGATATGAGAAGTGAACACAATACCATCACCCACTATGGGTAGGCAATTTAGAGGGGGAAATTCTTGGATTAGAGGCATGCTGTGGTGCTAAAACATGGTCAACACAAAGGGGCTTAATTTGGAAAGTACAATAGCTGCAGAGCTTGCAGGGCATCCGTTGCCAAGCATGAATCAAAAAGAGCGAAAGAGAAATGTTTTTCTTTTTAACAGAGTGCGCTGTCACGAAAAAGAAAAGAAAAAGGCGGGAAAGTTGACGAGAAGCTCTTATAAAAAGAATAACAAAAAAATTTTAAAAATGTCCGCCCTCAAGCGGCTAACTCCCTAGAGACAATTTCTAAAAGTGCACGATGAGTGGTGTATAGATAGATCCCTTTATTCGAAGGGCAGTCATCTTGAAGGAGAGGAAAACCACTAGTATGTTCGAGACAGTTGTCAAATATAAAACATACCTCCCTCTTCCGCCCAAATCTAATCGATGAGGTTTTACTATTCTGACTAATCATTGTTTTGGTGAAATGTTCATAGTCCAAGAAGCTAACTGATTATTCAGAGGTAACTGACAGAGATGAATGTTGCGGAATAGATCTCTTCTTAGCAAATATTTAGGTTTTTTGCTGGGTGGCTCATAGAGGAATCGGTTGCTGGTCGACTATTCAAAAGTCGACGAAAAATAGAGGCGATGGCAACCAAAAGGAAGTGATTTCCACAGGAAAGGACTCGAGCTTATTTGGAAAAATTTCATAATACAAAGTCGAAGTTTCGGGAGAGGTTGGAACAGAGATTCTGGAGAAAGGCCGGTTGGATTAATCAATCAAGGAGCATCATCGATGGGAAAGAAATATCGGGAAGAGGTTCATAGACGATGTTCATTCATGTTTTGCTGATTGAGCTGATATACGAGAACAGAATCGATTCCTCCTCCTTGTGTATCTGACATCTGTTATCGGTGTATTGGCGGCCATCACAACTGCTACCACACGTGTTAAAACAGTTGTCTTGCTAACTGAAATAACCTAAACAATACTTTGGGTAACTGGTCACGCGATCTCATTCTAAGCTCTGCGACATAAGCTATAATCCATGGAATTCACAGAGTAGAAGCTCTATGAGTAAGTTTTGTGGGACTTTTAGTAAAACGTGCTACTAAGATGATAACAAGCCTGTTTATCTCCTTGGTAGCAGGTTTTATCGAATAAACGGTGCCAACTATTGCTGCTTTCTTTTTCCGAGCAACTTATCGGAAACAAAGAGTGGAGCTCCTTTCTTTTCGGGGAGATCCACCTTTTCAGCTAAGCTCCTTTGCACGCCCTATCCTTACATGTAGTGGGACCAACAAAATGGTGACGAACACGGCATCTTTCTCTTTAAGGTCGGTTCTAGTAGTAAATCATCTAGAAAAGTTACTGCGTACTGCATTGATTGCTGCTGTTGATAGCTAGTTATCACGTCACGNTCCTTTTCCGAGCAACTTATCGAAAACAAAGAGTGGAACTCCTTTCTTTTCGGGGAGATCCACCTTTTCAGCTAAGCTCCTTTGCACGCCCTATCCTTACATGTAGTGGGACCAACAAAATGGTGACGAACACGGCATCTTTCTCTTAAAGGTCATTTCTAGTAGTAAACCATATAAAAGTTACTGCGTACTGCATTGATTGCTGCTGTTGATAGCTAGTTATCACGTCACGAGGCATGCCTTACAATTAGATAGTTGTCTCGCCACCATGTTTTCAGGAGCACCGCGCATCACAGCTTTTATTTGCTGATCGGCGGCCATGTACCATTTCCAGTTGCCCTTTCGTTAAAATCACCAATTATGCAGAAATTCAAGAATACTCACTTTCGAAATATAGTTTAATAAATACTGTGATAATAATAATATTGATAATAACGAAAGTACTGAATATCACAAGTATAATTGCACGTTCTCAACACCGAATGTCATTTCAATAATATTAGACAATTGCACAAAGTTCTTTGCATTGATAGGAGGGGTAATGGGCAGTTGGCAATGGGCGGCGCTAGCGTTCATACATGGCGAACTCAGAGCAGGACCCTAAGTTCGCCTACTATAAACGCAGCTTACTTAATCACATGTTGTCGGAATGGGAGCGAGCTTCAGTGTACTCGGAGACCATTAACAAAGTATTAATAATTGATCAACAGGATAGAAGGATTACGGTAGCGTTATGTTAACAATAACTAATTGTAGTCAATTAAATTGATCAACACACTACCGGTTACTAAATTATGTACGTATTAGTCATATCGGTCACTGGTTAGGCATGATTAAGGCAGTTTCGATAAAGCTGCGTCCATGGTCGGCGCAGTCTGTGTTAAACATAATTATCGATCACAATCTGCTGATATTGTAGTCGTTTGTGGATCTTTGCCTCTTCCATGAAGGCTTTCTCTTAATTACATGCAAATGACAAAACGCTCAGCCGTAACTCCGCTGACCATAAACGCAACCTAAGTTGGTGCGAGGGCTGAGAAAATGTTCTACAACGAACATTACACGATGATATATCGATATGGATATAGTGAAATACACGGCGTGTTCCAAAGATGACGTCATCATCAGACGACGTTATTTCTCCACGCTGGTGGCGGCAAGAAGGGGCGTGGCAAGTAGTTTGGCAGGCGGTCCTTCCTCCCTTGGCTTATGATCACAGATTATAAGGAGGTAAAAATTTGTACACAAGCCGTTGCTTTTTCTCCGGCTTTTGGATGATTCCTGGAATTAGTCTTCTTTGGCCATTGATCAAGTTATCGATTCATAAGTATCACGGACCTTTTTTGTAGTATTGTCGGAGGCTTCGCGAAAGTTTGTCGTAATTCATCTGGGCACGGTTCTTTCGCTGTCCCCAGAATCTTGCCAAGTGATGAGAGGACTCGATTTTGAAGGTTCCTGCAGTACCGTACGTTTTGCGCCAATCCATAACAGATTTTTCAGTTAGCTAACCTTCGTCTCGATCGACCCAACGCACACACGATCCATACTGTTTGTTGGGGTGGTCTAGTAGTTCCCGGATGAAATGCCACAGATGAACGGTGCCGGAGTGTCGTGGAAACGGTGACGGGCGTTGCTCCTCAGTGGGCGGGGTTTGCGTGTTTGCCATTCTGCAACCAGTTGGAAATTGCTTTGATATCTATCAAAATCTTTGGAAGAGTCTTATTCAGCCTTACTCCATTCCGTTCATCTGGCTGCAAAATCGCATTCCATCTTGCTGCATCTGTAGCATACTTTGCAGATCGATACATTCATCATCAGCCACTAAAATATAAATCGATCGATCGATATTGCAAGGGAGAGGATAATTCTGACTCACTGTCATGCATACTTGCATTACTGCTTCTATCGCTGTCACTTGGGGATGGCAAGACACCATTACCGAAGAAGGCGTGGCCATCCTGCACTCCGTTTCCGATCGCTCCTGCAATAACGCTGTTCAGGGGTTCACACACAACCTGCCTAGGGCACGGTGGTACGTACCGTTGTTGAAATAGTGCTGCTGATGAAGCTCAGTGGGATGATACTGCTGTACGAAATCCGGTCGTCCAACGTTGTTTTTCATCGGTTCAGGGCCAACCATTGTCGTTTGCCCGCCGGCGGTCATCTGAAGTGATCAACATACCGAACGGTTTATTTCAGTAATCTGATCCATGGACGGTTACCCAATTATTCTTTGGCATCGAGTTATCAGCGGCTGTAATGCCACCATTACTCTGTCCGCCGGCTTGTTGTTGCTGATGGTAGGACTCGAACGCTAAACGAACGAGTGATAAGGAGGATTACGCAGGCTTTGAGAGCCGAAAATAGCAAGAATGGTCAGATCTGGCCAAGTTCATGTTCTCGGAAGGCAAGTCTCATAAATTGTGCATCACCCAGCGAAAGCCTTCATGTATATTCATAAAGATATGAAAGACAGCATTACTTTTGCTGTAGGTAGATGGATTTTTTTCGGTGCACGATTTATGTGACAAGCATGCGCGCGTATATTGCTGCCTGACCGGTTTTCCATAGTTGTAGTTGAGCGTAGAGTGTGTCACCGCCCTCAGGAGCTAGTGCTATGAAGTCCTTCTGAGTCATACTGAGCAGTACTCGACCGCTCAAATATGTTTGACGTGGTGGTGTCAGGCTGAATTGTTGGCACATTTCCGAAATCCAACGCGAACCATGTTCCTGCGTCCAATTCTGAGCATCTGAAATCACTTTACTATAGAGAAGAGCTGGTGGAGGGCTTCTTTTAGTTCTCAAAGGGAATTTTCGGTTTGCTTCAAGTCTACAACTCTGCTCGGTGCTTTTCCACTCGGGTGTCCCTCTGGAGCTTTGCCCTTCCTTCATTTACTGAAAAAAAAATTTAGAGAGCCGTTGTTGACCTCTATTTGCCCAGCACGATTCGTTTACTTCCGGGTAGTTGCGCGACGGCGTCCACGTAGCAAACATTTTGCCAAAAGCTCACAGAGTAAAGAAAAAACATCGTCACTACTCTTATGAAAAGTATGTTTCTGGCAGATTACCCGCCTTCCCCTCCCCTCCCCTGGCTCTTCTTACCTATGCCATTTACTATTTATGGACTTTTAAGTAAATGGCGAATGAATGAATGGCGAATGTGCCAGCTTGGATATTTACCTGTTGGCAAACCGAGTTTGGCGCATGTGGTGCTTATGTCTTGGATGAGATGTCTGAGTATCAAGTCCCTGAAATACTTTCGATGTAAACTTCTTAACTAATTGATAAATCGGCATGTAAACAAACCTGTAGATGTCCATTTGTTGAGCATCGACGCAGGCATTGCTATTCTGGCAGGTGACTGATGCGTTTTCTGCGGCTACACAGGTAGTGTTGGCGGTGGCTGGGGTGTTTACGAAAGGGGATGTGCCGAATCCACCATATATCTCTGAAAAATCTTATTTGTAGAGAAAAGCACAGGCAAAGCATTTAATGGTTTTTCAGTGGGGTCGGGGTTCGCCTTTGTCAAACATTTGTAACCTTATAGTAGGTAAAATCGATGAGTGTGAAGTTTCTGGCATTCGATAATCCCCTTTTGGGATGAGCCATCTACTTGACCTCCAATGATAAACATGACGTTGTTTGAATGCGCGTTTGACCAAGTCAGCTACAAGGACCAGCTAATAAGTCAATGCTTCAATCCTCTCAGACAAATGGAAAGCCAACCAAGAAAAATCGAGGCTCCATGGATTTCAGTCAAATCCGGTCCGTGTGAATGTAAGCTGCGTTGTTCGTCATGCTGCTACCCCTCTTCATTATTCTTCTTCATATTTCTGGTGCCGATGTGCTCCGCCTGATTTTCTCTTCTATGATGTGTCATGATTTCCTCTTTGGAGTCACTCTCTTGATATTCGAGATGACACCGAGAAATGAGCCTTCATTCGATGTCAAAGCGATTATGAAATGGACCCGGGCAGGTTAGGGCGCAGAGGAACAGTAATAGACCAGCACAGCCGCAGTTACACAGTGTCTTTTGGTCAAAAATATCTCCTGTTGGTGGCAAGGTTAACGGTCATCTTCGCTGTTTTCAAACTCGCATCCAAACACTCTGAGCACCGTATTTATCCATTCTATCACGGTGTTCTGACCCAGAGCCCACACATCCTCCAGTTTCTACGGGTACACTTCGCATAGGCCTGAGATAACGTATGGGAAATAGTAGGGTAATGGTAAGGTCTTATTGGGACGCTCTACGCCCTCCGTATAAGTATAGTAACGGTAGCTTGCTCTATACGTAGAGAATCTTTTCTTCCGGATGTTGTCTACCAGAGCAATAGCCACTCATAGGAACCGTCCAGCAACGTGTGACGCTTTGAGTTTCTGAGCTATTTACAGGAAGTGCTCGCAGTTTACTTTCCTATCTGATTTGATGATGATCCCGAATATGACCTCTGGATCATATGTTGCAATGACGTCTTTTGTCAGCGCCCGTAGTGGGCATTCCTTCTTTGTTAATCTATTTCGCATCCCCTATTCTATCTCTATGCGATAGTTCCGTCACTTTTAGTTTCACTGCTGGGTTTCCCTCGTTTCCCTCCCGACGGACGATAAATGAAAAGAGGGAAAGCGCCGAGTCGTTCGCGTGGACGCGTTCAAGTAATATCCTGATTCTTTGGACGACTTTTTGCAAAGCGGTCGCTCAGCGGGCGACTCGTCTCGTCGTTGATCGGGAGAAATGCGACCGGTTCGTTCTCCACGCCAAAGACGTGACCGGTTCTGCTGCGTGGCCGGCCAGTGCACTGGGCGACGTGAATGAGATCGGGATCAGGGACGAATGAAAAAACGCACCAATGACCGGGTCACGACAAAACTGGTAGATGTGTAGCCACACAGCTGCGTGAGGGATACCGTAATTTCGGACGTTTAACTACTGAGGTACGCTGCCGAAAAGCGGTCAAGGAAGCACCTTACTAGGTCAGCAACCTTTTGCGGGCTAGTGACTTCCGTGATTTCAAGGATATTGAGGCTATCGGTAACAAAAACTCATAAGGCACTCAGGGAACGGAAAACATCCAAATTTCATCTCTGATTTTGAGCTTTGAATTTGAGTTTTTGAACCTTACCTTCACCTGCTTCCGTTTTCACAGCGTCGTTGATACCATTGAAACTGATCGTGTCGTTCGCCTGAAACAAGTGAAATATTTTAGTAAAATGGTCGATCCTACAGTTTTCAAGTCAGATTCCTATCTGGACTGAAAAAGTGGTAGTATTGGTGGTCCTGATTGGGTTTGGACAAATTAAAGTAATGGAATTTTAGTAGAAGAAAATTTTTGCGAATTCCCGTATATAAAAAGGGCTTTCGGCAGCTCTACCATATGGCCCCCACTTTCTGCGATCTAGCTACTCCTGGTTTATTGCGAGAACTGGGTCTTTTATTTGACCTTTGAACAATCTCATAAGGCGACAGTTCGGTAGCGTGGCTTAGGGACCACTTCCGTTTTCAACTGACGGAAAATTGAAAAATTTCTATTTTCCAGCGCTCTACGTCTATGCCGACTGGTTACTGTTTTTCTGCACTCTGGCTAGTCTTAGCACTAGCGCCTTACGTGAACTCCTAGAGCAGTCGCGTGGAATTGTTTCTAGGTCCCAACTCGACCGACCCATTTCTACTCCTTATTCTTGAGACTGACCAACTGGTTTCTCTTATGACTGGTTTCTTGTCTTCATTCATTCGAAATGGTGGGAAAAGTCCGACCAGCGTGGCTGTTATAGCCTCGACTTAATCGTAAGACTTCAAGTGTCTAGGTCTCCAGCCCATTCCACTGACCATTTTCCATTTCAACGAACGCCGTTTTCTTCCCTTTAATTTGTCGGCGGCGGTGATTTCCCTTGTCGACAGACGACGACGACGATGAACATGAACCGGGCGCCATTAGTGACCACTGGTCGCGCCGTCGCCACCTAGTGGTGGCTGGCCTTTCTTCAGATGTGCGTACGATCGTACAAGAGAAACCCGTTCGATCCGTACTAGGCGTGAAAAAACTATGAGTCAGGCCGGCCGTCTTTTAACGATTCAGCCCTCAGCGAGAAACCGGATCTACGAGACGAGACTATTCACGAAATTCGCATAGAACTTCCAAGATGATCGAGATATGACGAGGCGGCTCTATACGGCAGTGAAACTTGAGGCACTCGATGGAATGTCCGGCTCAAGAGGTAATTGTCTCGAAAACTGGAAGGCAATATAGCTCTTGATTCGAGACATTGGGATAACACAATATCTGGATCCTAATCGAAAACCAGTGATCTAAAATGACTGTGGTCCGATAATGAGGTCCTAGTGAAATCCACGAGTTTTACTAGGTGGTGGTATGAGTTTTCCAGGTTGTTCAATGTTGGGTAGTTTCCAATCAATGTCCGAGGCTTCTCGGTTTCGCAGTTTTCGTTGAATAACTATTCATTGGGCTGTTATCAGCATGACATCATTGCTGTTATAAATACAGTGGACATCCTTCAAAGCACGTACCTATAGGTTTCTATCATACTAAATGACATCATTTACTCCGAAAAACTACTGATAAGGTTGAATGGTATGCATTCGTTTACTTCAATCTTTTGAAAGCTACTGATAAGCTTTCGTGGTATGCACTTTCGCAGAACTGATATTTCTTTGACGATCTGGTCCTACCCACATCATGCCAACCCACTAACTCTTCCATTCTTGCTAGTATGAGAAGAGTAATACCTCTCCATGAGATAATTATACGGGTGAACATGCACATGAATGGTTTTCCAACTATGGATGATAGTTAAATGCATGGCGGATCCAGTATGGATTAACCAATATTAGCACCTTGGGGAAGCCTCTTGGCTGGAAGTTACCTCAATCAGACCATTGACAACAAATAGGTGAAAGGTAACAGAACAGAGCAGCTCATAAAAGTGCTGAAAGAATAGCCTTCGGCTAGTTCACCGGCCAGAACAAAAGGAGGAAAGAGTGGCCGAGGATAAGGTGTTCGGAAGCTATGCTACGCGTTCTACTTCCACTCTACTAATGAAGACTTTTCAAGGCCATTTATTCTAGTGGTTGGTCTCGCAGGGAAAAGCCTCAATTTCAAGTTCTAGTTGTCCTGATTTTCACAGTGAAATCAGATGTAAATCTATCAACTCAGAGGAGATTAAAGGTTAAACTGGTGTTGACATAAATTCGATCATTTGAGGCGTTCAAGTGTTACAATCCGCGCCTTTAGCCGCTGCAGTGTGCCCATCAAACTCACTTTCACGCGCGATTCCTTTCACTATGGGTGAAGGCATGGGAGTTAAACAAACGGAGAGGTCATGATATGATTGACGAATCGCAAGTTGAATACATTGTATCAGAATCAATATAATTNTTCACAGTGAAATCAGATGTAAATCTATCAACTCAGAGGAGATTAAAGGTTAAACTGGTGTTGACCTAAATTCGATCATTTGAGGCGTTCAAGTGTTACAATCCGCGCCTTTAGCCGCTGCAGAGTGCCCATCAAACTCACTTTCACGCGCGATTCCTTTCGGGTGAAGGCATGGGAGTTAAACAAACGGAGAGGTCATGATATGATTGACGAATCGCAAGTTGAATACATTGTATCAGAATCAATATAATTGTATGCATTTATTAAATGGAGGTGGTGTAACGCAAAAGGCGCGCTATATCTCTCGCATGGGCCGGGGATTGAATCCTAGATGAGTAATCGTTTAAGTCAACCAAGCCGATTATCCTTAATGGATTGTTTTATTGGTTCCAAATTTGTCTGAGAGGATAAGACACTGACTTAAACATAGGCTGGTAACTGCAGTAACATTTCATTGCATGGGTCACCACGCCATTCTACGCTTCTGAAATGGGAGTTGGGGGCGCATCCCCAGAATGGAGCTGATTACGCCAAAGGCTTCATAATGTTTGTTCCAAAAGTATTTCAAATAGTATAATCGGTTCAGTTATCACACTAGGCATACCACAAATGTGGTCATGTTTAACCAGCTATTGCCAACTGCTGCTACCCACAACCATGGTCCTCCTTATTGGGTTTTGTACTTTCGAATTTGTGGTTAAAACTTGATAATTCTTGGTAATCTGGTAATTTGACTGTGACGCACACTAACCTTCATCGACGGCTTCTTACAGAAGGCCGTCTGAAGTGATGCAGCAGCGGCGTCGGACGTGGCCGTCGGAACCGCTTTCGGCTTGGCGAACATCACGTCATCGGCTCGTGACTGTTGCTGATGCTGGAAAATTGCCGTTAACTTCGACCAGAGACCGTTTATGCGCACCACCTTTACGTCAATCGAGCACTGATAACGCTAGTAA